CTGAAATAGAGATCATTCAAAAAGGGAAACACGTTAAATCAATAATATACTGTCTGATTACACTTAAAATATGATTTTTTAAAAAGATTTCAACTGAAGTGGAATATCTATTGAAGCTGTCTAGACCTGGACAAATGTTTAAACTTTTATTATCTTTAATATTAATTGAAAAGGCCCAACTAAGGGACAGAAGACAGCTTCTATTCACAAATAAGATGAAGAATTGCTATTTATCCGACTGACCGAATACAGTACAGAATATTACTAGCCACATATCACAATTAATGATTGCTATTATTCAGAGTCACCAAGCAAATATCGTGTATGCAGTTTGATCAGAGTTCAATTTATCCATTAATATACTTTAACCTTTCTACTGTGTACAAAAGGTGATTAAAGCATGTTATATAGGATGTTTCCTTCTGCACTGGCATGTGTGATTCTGAAGAGTATACAAAGCATCAATTATTTTATACAACATGGGTAACATCTACAATGTGTCCCCAGTGAACATTTTAATTAAGAAATAAGGTGAAAGAATTTGGAAGAAAACTGCATATGAAAATGTGAACTGTGCATGCTGGGCATTGAATTCAAAGCAGCACATTTTTTCTCAGCTAATGAAACCCAAAAACAGCGCAGCTATTTAATGCAGATCAGGCCCATCATCCCACCCACCCACTCAGAAGTTGCCATTCTGAGGAAAGACACAGAAATTTGAGAGCTCAAAATTTTCCAGACACCTGTTCTTTTTCGTTGCAAGCTTCATTTATTTAAGTATAGAATACACGCACACCATTTCCTAGGGTTTTTTTTTTCTTTTTTTAATCAACTGTTTTTGTAAACCCTACCACTCCGCTCAAGTCCATTTCAATTCTGTCAACAGGAAACGCTATTCGTTGCAGGCGCCTATATTCAAGTGTATAGTTTTCAAGACTTGCGTCTCCAAAACTTTCGGAGGAAATGGACTTGGTGGGGTGGGGGTGGGGTGAGCGGTCGCGATGTGGAGATGGGGGAGGGGGTGTCTCCCTACCTTTCCAACTACTTAATTTTAAATGATCACAAAAGGCTGCTACGATGCTTGAGGACCCAAAAGCTGACGAGCCGCCGCCGGCCCCCCCTCCCCCCCCCTTTTATTCCCCTTCACGACGTGAAGGATCCGGATGAAGCGTCGCTATTCTGGCGGGGGAGGCAAGGAAAGGGGGATCGGGGTGGCGGTGCTTGCGAAAGGAAAGCCGGATTGTTACCTGAGGGAGCGAAGGGAGGAGGGCCCAGCAAGGACTCCTCAGGCAGGAAGACAAGCGCACCAACGGAGCGTGTGTGTGTGTGTGTGTGTGTGTGTGTGTAGGGGGGGAGATACTGAGGGGGGCAAGAAGAGGGGGAGGGTCTCCCACAGGGTTCTCTAAAATGGCGGCAGCTTCCTTTCCCACAGGGCTCCCACTTCTCTCTGTCTCTCTCTCTCTCTCTGTCTCTCCCCCCTCCTAGGCACCGTCCTTCTCCCCCTTCCCTTCTCCTCACCCTCAAGGTCCACCGCGCTCACCGGGCACGAGCCCCTTCCTTCCTGCCCTTTTTCTTCGCTGGCGGAGGAAATGGGAAAGAAGCTCGCTCACTCGCCGCTCTTTTTTTTTTTTTTTCCTTTCCTTTCCCTTGCCTTCACCGCCACGGTCCCAGAAGCCACCGCGCGCGCCTCTAGCGGCCCACTTGCCATTTCCTCCTCCGGCTAAACCCCGCCCCTAAACACCCTTTCCTTCCGCTTGGCCTTCCTTGGCTGCTCCTGCTGTTCTACCTCCTTTTCCGCGCGCTCTTTTCTTCTCACTGATTCCTCACTTGCCCCACCCCCCACCGCCCACACACCGCGCAAGCTCGCATTCGCTTCCCCGGCTCCTCCCATTTGGCTTCAAAGGGAGGGAAGGAAAAACGCGAGCGGCGCAGGCGCAGTCTGAAGCCTGCCTACAGTGCGCATGCGCGAGACGGTGGTGGTGGTGGTGGGGGGGCTATTTTCTTCTGCGCGTTTTTTTTCTTCCCCCGAAGATCTTTTTTTTTCCCCGATCTGGTTTAAATTTGACTCCCAAATTGGCACGTCTGCGTTCACTAGCTTTAATCTTATTTCTGTTTCTCTTATATAGCAAGTTTTATTGCTATAAAACTTCATTGAAACGGTCATTGAAATACTTTACATTTTATCATCATCATCATCATTTTAGCCATTGTCTATCCACTGCATGATGAAGGTCTCATGTTTCCAACTTGTATTTTTTTACTAAAATATGCGTACCTCCCATCGGACTCTACGTGTTCTGTAATCGCGGTTTCAACCATCAATCTCACGGGCTGCTGTATCGCTGCCATTTCATGGTCTTTAGTCCCGTTCCCATTCTCATATCCGTACCGCATTTTATACACGCGATTTCGTGGAGCTTTCTAGTCCACAAACATTGATCCCATCATAAGCGTCCTTATTAAAGTGTCCTTTATTTCGCCCGCAAAACTTAATACTCTTGCTAGCCACGCATTAATATTTTTCTTATGCAGCCCAAAGCTATCCCAGCAATCTGATTTTCATGAGTACCGACTTAAACTAGGTTCCTGGTGCATTAAAAAAAAAAAAAAAAACCTGAAATGATCATATATTTATTGCAAGTAGTTTTCCTCCGGGTTGAAGACATAGCAGGGGATGTTTCTTAACCAGAGATTACACCAGCCTAACAGCTTTGTCATGAATGTAAGCAATTCTGTGGTGGTTGGTCCAAACATAAAACTGTATTCCGGATGCTGAGCCAGCTGTGATTTCAGGAATCTGAGGGATCTCATTGTCAAAGATAAGTAGGTCAGTGTTTTGTGGGTCACCTGAGATAATAGAGCCCCAACCATAACTGGATGATGTCTGCCTATAGTGTTGCAACAATTGCAGCTGACAGTTGATGGATGTGGGCAACTATGGCCCTTTTATGACTTGTGGACTTCAATTCCGAGAATTCCTGAGCTAACATGGCTGGCTCAGGAATTCTGGGAGTTGAAGTCCACAACTCATAAAAGGGCCATAGTTGGCCACCCCTTTATTAAATAGGAACCCTCCCCCTAAATAGTATCTTTGTCAGGATGGTTGGTTTGAGTAAGAGAAAAATCATTATTGATTTAAAGGCCTGCAAATTCTACAGCAAGTTATTATTTTGTACTAAGCCATGAATCATGGTTTAAGAACAAAAATAATTTGAGTTTATACAACTTGCTCTAAACTACATCATGGCTGAGACCTATATATAGAAACATGTTGGCAACTTTACTTTGAACGTAAGAGTCACTGAAACTGCTGTTGTTAAACTGTTGTCATATTTTGTGCTCAAAGTGTTCCATTAAGTACAAAATGACTAGGAAGTAAGAAAGGAAGTTCTGTAAACAGAACCTATCTTACTGGAATTCTCCTTTCTTAAAACATGCACAGGTAGTCCTTGACTTACAATCATTCATTTAACAAATATTTGAAGTTACAGCAGCACTGAAAAAAGTCACTTATGATCAGTCCTCACACTGACAACCGTTGCAGCATACCCATGGTCACATGATCAAAATTTGGGAGCTTTGCAACAGCATGTGTTTATGCCTGTTGCAGCATCTCAGGGTCATGTGATCATCATCTGTGACTTCCAGCTAGCTTCCAAGAAGAGAAGTCAATGTGAGGGAAGCCGGATTCATTTAATACCTGCAGTGATTCACTTAATAACTATAGGCTGTAAAATAGCTGCCTTGCTTAGCAATGGAATTTCTGGTCCCAATTGAGATGGTAAATCAAGGACTATCCGTATGTTATAATGCAGGGGTGGGCAACTGTGGCCCTTTTACAACCTGTGGACTTCAACTCCCAGAATTCCTGTCTCAGGAATTCTGGGAGTTGAAGTCCACAGGTTGTAAAAGGGCCACAGTTGCCCACCCGTTATAATGGCAATGTCAACTTGCAAAGCTTTCAAGTTGCCATGAGCAGGAGGGAGGGAGAACTGAAGTGAATTCCATACATTCTTTCTGACCGCAATCAGAAGGAGGGTGTTAGGTTTCACAGCCAGCCAAAGTGGTTAATTGGAGAATGTGATTTATGACATGGCCAGAGAGGAGGGGAGAGACAGCGGAAACTTGACAGGCAGAGCAGTTCTTTCTTGACAATGCAGTTAAGTGTACAGACATCTGTATTTTTATACACAAATTTATAGAAGTAACTCCCATAGAATGGTATTCCTCACCTTGGGAACTTTAACATGCAACTCCCAGAATCCATGGTGGCTAGGGAAGGTTGAGAAACACTGCCAAAGAATATATATAACAACACTTAGAAGTGCAGCATTTTCACCCTTATAAATTCATAGAACTACTTCAAGGTTAAATGCATTCAGAATTGGAGCATAAACCAATTCTATACTATGTCATATATTGTATAGCCCAATGATGGCTAACCTTTTTGCCATTGTGTGCCAAAAGCGGGGGGAGCGTGGAGGGGGGTTGCACGCATGCATGCCCACACCCGTAATTCTATCCGCCCCGCTCCTGCGCATGCTCCCCCCACTTTTGGCACGCGATGGCATGGTGGGCCCGGTAGGCCCCTTTTTTGCTCTCCCCAGGCTCCAGAGCCTTTCTAGGAGCTTGGGGAAGGCGAAAATAGCCCCACCCCCCAGGAGACCCTCCAGGGGTTGGAAACAGCCCGTTTGACAACTTCCAGTGGGACCTCGCGTGCCCACTGATATGGCTCCACTCATGCCATAGGTTTGCCATCACGGGTATAGCCAAAGCAGCTTGGTTTCAAGCTTATGCCGAAGTTCAGGTTGCCCCCTCAGCCACGGATTTGGTTAAAGGCCTGAGGTAACACTTTGAATTGCTAAACATTTTTAAACATGTTTTAACCATAGGTATTAGGTGAAATGTATAGTTGTCTTCTTATGTTTACATTTCATTTAGCTGACTGTAACGCAATATGAAATACCTACTAACATCATCACAGTAGTTAAGAAGATACATGTGGTGAAAGGTTTTTATTCAGGACCTTGAACCCAAAACTCTACCCACAACATCTAAGAAAGAAGATGTGTGTTACTACAAGAGCATCCCCAGCATTTTGGAAAATAAGTAGCAGGCCATCTTGCCAAAGGCTTGTTTACTTGATGTCTCTTGGCTGTTCTATCTCTGCTTTTCAGTTTCATACATTCCTAAATCTGGTTAGTGTCAAGGTTATGGGTGAGGACTTTTAAGACGACAATTCCCTCCCCTGTTCCTGCCTGATATATAGGAGGGTGGGAGCAAATCTCATTGCTTTCTTTCCCAATACAGGAAGTCCTCAATTTATGACCAATCATTTAGTGACTGTTCAAAGTTACAATGGCACTGAAAAAGTGAGTTATGACTGGTTTTCATGCTTACGACCATTGCAGCATCCCTATGGTCAAGTGATCAAAATTTGGGTGCTTGGCAACTGGCATGCATTTATGACGGTTGCAGTGTCCCGGGGTCATGTGATCACCTTTTCAAACTTTCTGACAAGCAAAATCAATGGGGAAGCCAGATTCACTTAACAGTCACATGATTCATTTAAAACTGAAGTGATTCGCTTAACAACTGTGGCAGAAAAGGTCATAAAATGGGGCACAACTCACTTAACAACTGTCTTGCTTAGCAATTGAAATTTTGGGCTCAATTATGATTGTAAGTTGAGGACTACCTGTATAATCCATCAGTCTTGCCTCTAGGATAGCGCTAAGGTAGGCATTAGCTGATATAAAGGAGGCCAATTAGGACTAAGGGGCTTCCAGTTTGCAGCCCCTTCCCTTGCAGATCTAGCATTTTCTTCTATGTTTATTTATGTTGAAATGTGAAACAGATGAGTTCAATGTTTTACAAGCTTCTGTTGATAGGAAAAACAAAAAACATGCCAGACTTATCACCCGAAAGAGAAACTTGTTAAAAAAAATTAAATTGAGAATACAGCAATAGCAATGCATGGTGATAGAAGATACAGCTGCTTGAATACTATACATGAGATGAGCCATTGGGGTGGGGTGGGGTGGGGGGGAATCCAAAGGTCTACAATCACCATTTCTAACCAGGAAAACCATTTGGGAGGGTTGAGAAAAAAAGGCAGGGCTCTAAGACTTGCAAAAAAAATGGAATTTCATTCTACCTCTATGTATGGTAATCCGTTCTTCACCTCTACTGAAGCAACATTCTGTCTGCCTTTCAAGCTGCCCAATCTGACATACTTTTTCCAGTTTTCCTATATTTGAAACACTTTTTAAAGATTATTATCATACAGATCCTGCATTCTTACATAGGCACAAAAAGCTCATTTTGCTGAACAAATGTACAGTGCTGGATTACATATTTGGAGAAGACATTTGGGGATTTCCTACTTCCCATCATCCCTAAGAGTGAGCCATTGTTTTAAGCAGAATTTTGAAGTAAAATCAATTAAAATATGGCTCTAGCCAGACTTCCTAATGTTCTGCACAAAAATGTAGCAATCTTGTGAGTCTGGAGTGGGTAGTGTGATGATTTCAGAGATGTTTAAATTTTTACTCCCCATCCTCCCCCTCCACAGATGCCATCTGAGAGGTGTTAAAGCATTTTGGTGCTCAAGAGAACTGCAGTAATATTCTTGTCTTTCAGTGATAGCTAGAAAAGAGTTTTCCCCCAAACTTTATTCTCCATACCTGTGGACTTCAATGGTTACCTGCATGAACTGAGATAAAGCATCATAAACCCCGTTTTTGATAGTTTAGGGATGATGGGGGTGAAAGTTCAAACATCTGGAAGGCACATGCTTGGGAATAATATTCTAAAGAAAAAAAAACCTGCCAACTGATTTTTCTTCCAAGCCTTTACTGGCCAAGCCATTAAAAAGTACTCAACCTTGCCCCTCCTTTCTAAGCACTGCAACTATGAAAACAAGCAAAGCGTAATAGGAAGTAGGGTTCATTTCCCAGTTAAAGTTGGAGATTGAAAGAATCCTTTAAAAACTATGGTTTTTAGATTAGGGAAGCTACACTCTGATGGGCAAAGTTACCAGTAAACTACAAGGGTAGACAAATGCATTTTGGAGGATGATGAAAAGGAAGTTATGCAGCAACAGCTTATGAAAGTCTTCCTGCTCAGCTTAACAGCAGCATAGCTCAGTTTCCAAAAGATTTTCTCTTACTCCAGCTTACCGCTGGTTCAGCGGATGTAGGATAGATGTGGGTGTTTCCATCAGAGGCCACCAACCAGCACAGATCCAAATATGAGCATGAACTTCAACCATGTCAAACAGCTATCGGTCCATGTTGTTTTCATCAGGATGACTGTGGAAGCAAAGACGCAGCAGGGTCTCGCAGAAATCCAGCTCCTCCTTTTTATTTTTTTTTTCAAATTTAAGAAGAAAAGAAAAAGAAAAAAAATAGGTGATCAATAAATTCTTGGATTTCTGCAACTTTATACAACTGTCAGTAAAAGTCCAAACTAATGAGAACTTTCAGTGCAGGCAGGAATCAGGAATATTTGCCTTGCTGGCAAAACTTCAGTCTCAATACTGTTGCTTCTTTTCCCATTCTGCCCCACAAATGACTTTGATGTTAATTCCTGTAATATCTATTGTTAGACCACTATAGCTAATACAGGCAGTCCTCGACTTACAACTGGTTGCCTAATGACCATTCGAAGTTATGATGGACCTTCCCTGGGCTGCTTATAACCTGGGAAGTTCTGATGTCCGGGTCCCCCCTGCAGTCCCATGATCACATTTTGGGCCCTCGGCAACTGGCCCACATTTATGGCCATTTACAGCACCCCACAATCACGTGATCTTGATTTTCATTTTTTTACTGGAAACTGGCACTTCCAGTTTGTGTCAAAAGATGCCCTTTGGAATGGATTCACTTAACAACTGCAGCATTCACTTTATGACCACAGCAGAAAAAAAAAGTTGTCAAACTGGGCGCGATGATATGGTGACCTGCTTAAGGCCTGGAGTGACTCATAAGTGTAATTCCGGGCTCAATTGCAATCATAAATCAAGGACTACTGTAGGCATGTCCTGACTCAGTTCTCTGATAGGACATTTCAGACTCCTATTTTGGGGGAAGAGGGAGAAAGAAAGGTAAGACATTTTTATTTCGAAAGCTCCCATGTTAAACAAGAATGAATATTTGCCTCCATCATATACAGGTAGTCCTCAACTTATGACCAAAATTGAGCCCAAAATTTAGGTTGCTAAGTGAGAAATTTGTTAAGTGAGTTTTGCCCCATTTTACGACTCTTCTTGCCACATTTGTTAAATGAATCACTGCAGTTGTTAAATCAGTAACAGGGTTGCTAAGTGAATCTGCCTTCCCCATTGATTTTGCTTGTCAGAAGGTTGCAAAAGAGGATCATGTGACTCCGGGACACTGCAGCTGTCATAAATATGAGTCAGTTGTCAAGCACCCAAATGTAAATCATGTGACCATGGGGATGTTGCAACAGCCATTAAGTGGGAAAAATGGTGATAAGTCATTATTTTCAGTGCGGTCGTAACTTCGAACTTGTCACTAAGCGAACTGTTGTAAGTTGATTACCTGTATTAGTTTTCCTTAATTGTGAGTGCAAAAACATTTTTTTTCATTCCAAGAGCTATATTCCAGCAGGATTAATTGGGAATGGGAGGCCTATTCCATGCCAAAGAGAGAACTCAGCAGTTAGTGTAACTTTATTTATTTATTGATTGATTGATTGATTGATTGATTGATTGATTGATTGATTGATTGATTGGTTCGATTTATATGCCGCCCTTTTCCGGAGACTCAGGGCAGCTAACAATGCGTTAAGCAATAGCCTTCATACTTTTGTATATACCTGCTTAGTAGGGCTTTCGCCCCCCACCCAAGCGGTGTTCTTTTTTATACAAAGTCAGCTTATTGCCCCCACAAACCGGATCCTCATTTTACCTACCTCGAAAGGATGGAAGGCTGAGTCAACCTTGAGCCTGGTGAGATTTGAACTTGCAGTAATTGCAGGCAGCTGGTGTTACTTAACAGTGCTTTAGTCTGCTGCGCAACCAAGGCTCTTTTGAGCAAAACCTGAATCGAGTCACCCATTTTCTCTTCCTTCACAGAAGAGACTGCAGGAAAGGGACAGGGAACTTGTTCCAGGCATCTAAAATAACTATCTGAAAAAGCTTTTACAATTAGGCTGCAGTCCACATGAATTCAATTAATGACTTGCAAGAGCCTTAGGCAACTGGTAACCCAGCCCCCTGCAAAACTCATCAGTCCCCACTGGCCAATGTCTAGGGACTGTAGGAAAGGAGACCAAAATCTCTGCAGGGGAGCAGGGAACTGTCCTTATCCACCCTTGCCCAAACCTTCTGTCAACTGTCCTGTTGGCAGAGCAGAAGAAACTCCTGGAACATTTTTCTTACCCAGAATAAAACTTTACCGACAGATCCATACAGGCAAAGAAGTAAAGCCAGTTCTGAGGTTCTGGTGTGAAGCGCATCATAGTAAAGCCCTATTTTCCTTACCCCGGGCCACCCTGTGTCCACTGTCCACCAACCCAAGTTAGGCATTTTACTTTGGGAAGCAAATTTCTTTAGTGTCTGACCTTGGGGTTGCAAGATTTTCTCAAGCTGCAAACGGCTCACGTAAATTCTTTTTTTTCCCTCCCCGTTCCCCACATTTTTGTCATCCCCGTCCCCCCGCCCTCTCTTAGCTTCTTTGTCAAGCTGTGAGTAGAAAGAGGTACTCTATGAGTCATCTTTAGACTCAAAAAAATGGGGAAATAATCCTTTGAATCATGACCAATAAGCATGGCACTAGTAGTGTCAGCCACACAGGTAGACCAGATGGGAAATAAGACCAGATAAGCTAAATCTACTTCACTGTGAAGCTAAAGTAACAGAATCTTGCAAATCTCCTCCATTGAGAGAATATAAGTCTCCCACCATCTCCTTTACAGCCCAAGAAACTAGGGAGGGTCCCTTCTCTTTCCCTGCCCATTATCCAGCTGCAGGTTATATTGTCTCTTATCTGTTTCCCAGGGCCATTCCCACATTCCATTATAGACAGTCCTCATTTAGCAACTGTTTATGGTTATGAAAAAGTATATGACCAAACCTCACATTTTGCAGGTCCGTAAAGCAAAGGAAAACTGAAGAAAGTGTGAACACAGTCATGGTTTCACTTAACAACCACGTCACTTAACCAAGTTGTCAGTCCCAATTGTGGTCCCTAAAGGAGGACTATCTGTAAGGACAAATGTAGCATCAAATCTACCTCATCTGTACCGGCTGTCTTTTTTTTTTTTCCCAAACATCCATTAAAGCCCAATTTTGAGTATCTTGTAGTTTAAAAAACATTTCATTTCAAACTAGCTTCCAGCAGTTGTAAGCACAAAAAGGAAATCGTGCATTTAAGTATTACAATAGAAAGCTATGGCTGCTGTTTTAAAATGCTGAAGGTAAGACAGGATTTGAACGTGTTATATCTCAAGTGTTTTAGCCAAGCTCTTTAGTCAAGAAAGCTCAGAGTGTGACCTGTATGAAATGAATATAAACAATATACTCCCTGCTGGCAAGATTATCATCGGTAGTGATGTAAAAGAAAGGATTAAGAGAAAATTAAAACCAAAAACCAAACTGAATAAAATGAAATTAAACAGAAACAGTTTAGTGAGAAATCATAAAACCTTGATTCCTACTGTGTTTCCCCAAAAATAAGGCCAAGCCTGATTTTTGGGGTGGGCATAAATATACGCCCTCCCCTGAAAATAAGCCCTAGTGAAGGGGTGGACCTGGCCAGCACAGGAGGCAGCCCTTCCCTTCCCCGTCACCTCCTGGAGGTTAGAGCCCCTTAATTGTTGCCCGCTGATCAGCTGAGCCAGCGAGGGCTGTGTGCAACCCGGCTCAGATCTCCAGAGCACCTCCCCAGCTGCCGGCCTCCTCCCCCTTTTCTTGGCAGGAAAAAAAAAGGGGGGGGCTCCTGCAGCCTGTCCTTTCTTTGGGATCGCAGCACAGACACACATCCCCAAAATGCTCCATCTGAAGCCCGGTTTCTCTTTTTCTCTCTCTCTGTCACACACACACACACACACACACACACACACACACAGATTTGATCTCCTGAACTGCTGCGCACTTTCCGCCCAGAGGGAGACGAAGCGGGTGAAAAGTGTTTGGGTGCCCAATAGGCACAGGCCTGCATTGTCAAATGTTTGAGCTGCTGAGCGCCGGTCTGTACGCCTATTCGGTGTCGCAGGGGCCGGGCTACAGGTACGTTGAGCCAGGCGCTTTTCGGGCCCTGGCCCTGGTGGCCGCTGCAGCTCTCGTGCCAGCTCTGCGAGGCAAACAAGCATGGGACTGCCCCGGTTGCCTGCGGCGGCTCTGCAACCACCTTGCCTTCCGCCCAGTGCAGCCCACCGCCAAGCCCCGGCTGCTACCCAGGAGCCTCCACTAGCTCCCGCTGGAACTACGGTATCTCACGCACAGCTGGCCTGAGAGCTACAGCACCCACCAGACTGAGGATTGTAGTCTGGAACCTGCAGCACCAAGTAGGCATGCAGGCTGGCGCTCGGTAGCCCAAAGGAGACGCCTTCCTGTTGGAGTTCCGTGTCCAGCTGGGGAGCGGTTCCCAGGACTGCCCGATTCTCAACCAGCCGGATGCATGGTAAGAGGGGCCTTCCTGCCCACCTAAAAGAGAGTCTGGGTTACGTAAAGGCCTTTCCCCCCCCAAGACCCTCTCAAGCACTGAGCTGCGGGCTCCACCCCAGGGAGCCTCAATCGGGGCCAAGCTCTTGGGAACCGATTGAGGTAAGACTGTTTTTGAAGGGGGCACGAGACGTGTGAGGCCTCCTGCAGCTTTTGCAACCGATTAATTCTTTTGATTGATTCAATTGATTCTTTGCAAGCCACAATTCTTGCCATCATTTCTCCTCCCACCTCGCCGGGCATGGCAGGGCTTCCTGCCCCTCGCTTTTCCCCTAACCCACCCCTCCCCACCTGCCACCCCCAAATTGTGCCCCAAAATAATAAGACCCCCCCAAAATAAGGCCAAGGGGTTCAAAAAAATATAAGACAGGGTCTTATTTTCGGTGAAACACAGTAGGAATATGGAGTGGGTTTATCAAGCCATATTGTCTATACAATAGATAGTCCTTGACTTACAACAGTTCATTTAGTGACTGTTCAAAGTTATAAAGGCACTGAAAAAAATGATTTATGGCCATTTTCCACACTTGCGACCATTGCAACATCCTCATGCTTACGTGATCAAAATTCGGATGCTCGGCAACTGGTTTCATATTTATGAAAGTAAGTGGGCGGCCATATAAATTCTCTAAATAAATTAGGGTTTATTACCTCTACAATCTAACATATAA